TAAATCACCTTGTGTGATTTCCCTTGAATTAACTTGAACGCATGGTGTGTAAGTTTCCTTTGCCCATGGGGCATCCCTTGTGAATGTGTGATCTTTACTTGACAGTAAACTTACTGTTGAAGCTGGTACTGTGGACGGTGTAAAGAACAATGGCGTACATAGACTAGTCACCAGTGGGGTGCTAGAGTTTTTGTCGACAGAGGTACTAGGTACCTGGTGCTGTAAACCACCTTGTGTGGTTTCCCTTGAATTAACTTGAACACTTGTTGTGTAAGTTTCCTTTGCCAATGGGGCATCCATAGAAAGAGGGTTTGATCGCAGACCACCCTGTGTGGTCTCCGTTGAATTAACTTGAACACTTGTTGTGTAAGTTTCCTTTGCCAGTGGGGCATCCGTTTTTTGAGTGTGATTCTGTAGTGTAGCTTGTGATAACGTTGATACAATATGTGTCTTAGGTGTTGGTGGATAACTTTCAGGTGAAGAATGTACTTCCTTTGCAGGGGTACATGTAGTAGACTGTTCATTTGATGTGGTAGTAGATGTTAGACTCACTTGATCATGTAATGTTGCATCATGTTGTTCCATTCTTTGAAGTAGTTCTGCTTCTAGTATAGCTCTCTGTTTACTCTCTTCAAGTGTCCTTACTTTTCGAGAACGCATGGACTCTTCATTGAGTTTCCGCAATTCAAATGCCTTTTGATCAGCTTTGGCTTGTGTTTCTCTGAGTTGTTTTTCCTTTATTTCTTGTTCTAACATCATTTTTCTATCCTCCTCATTGTTCTTTGATGTAACTTCAATGTCATGCTCTATGAGTTTAGACGAGTGAAGGTATCCTTTAGCAGCATGATTGTGATAAGAAAAAATGTATACAAATGTAGCCAAGGCTGCTATGATGTCGAAAATGTATATCGTGAAACCGAGCTTTCGCTGTACTACAGCATCATCAGGGAATGACAAGAAGAATAATATTCTTGACTAATAAGAGCTGGGCGATCAGGCGTTACGGTGAACGACCAATAGGCAGAGAGTAGATTAGGTTAAAATAACAAGTCTTGGTCGTTCACCGTAACGCCTGATCGCCCAGCTCTTATTAGTCAAGGATATTCTTCTTCTTGTCATTCCCTGATGATGCTGTAGTACAGCGAAATCTCGGTTTCACGATATACATTTTCGACATCATAGCAGCCTTGGCTACATTTGTATACATTTTTTCTTATCACAATCATGCTGCTAAAGGATACCTTCACTCGTCTAAACTCATAGAGCATGACATTGAAGTTACATCAAAGAACAATGAGGAGGATAGAAAAATGATGTTAGAACAAGAAATAAAGGAAAAACAACTCAGAGAAACACAAGCCAAAGCTGATCAAAAGGCATTTGAATTGCGGAAACTCAATGAAGAGTCCATGCGTTCTCGAAAAGTAAGGACACTTGAAGAGAGTAAACAGAGAGCTATACTAGAAGCAGAACTACTTCAAAGAATGGAACAACATGATGCAACATTACATGATCAAGTGAGTCTAACATCTACTACCACATCAAATGAACAGTCTACTACATGTACCCCTGCAAAGGAAGTACATTCTTCACCTGAAAGTNCATTTCCATCATCTTAATAGCTTCCTTTAGTTCTGAACGAAGCTTCTTAAGCGAATGAATATTAATCCCATCATTGATATGTTGTCGTATTTGATTAACTAACCTCGTAACTTTAGCTTTTTTCACTTTCCTCGAAGCCTTCGCTTTCGGTATTCCGTTTTGATCATCCATTTTTGGTAGAAAACCTCGTTTCTTTACAAATATCCGGCTCGAAGGACCAAAAATTAATGTGCCGGCTCTTCGGATTGTTGAGGATTTGGGTCGGATGGCCCCGAGGACGGGATTAAACCCACGAATCGAACAACCAAATACAACTCACATGTTCTTTAATTCCGCCATGTTTACAACATACCCACATGACCGAGTGGGCCTGGGCACAACACAGGTAGCCCATAAAAGATAAACAAGAATAGAAATAATTACAATAAGTAATGTCAACAATTAATCTATAGCGATAAAGTTCCGTCGTGAACAATTACTATTATAGATTATGGTCATTATTTTATCAATTATCATTATTCTTTATATCATTAATTCTTACTGTTAGCAAAATCTGCAGTAATTCAAAGATAGAATTTTTGTGTTAGAAATCATTAATGATTATTTTATATTTTAATAATAAGCTAATTGATATTTCTAAAATTTATTCTCTTAAACCAGCTAGAATCCTAAAATTTCTTTTGCTGGAATATTTCTAAATTGTTGTGTAAGATAAACTGTATATTATTACCTTCAGTGAAATCAAACTTTGAAATGTCTACACCTTTGTGTTTGAGATAACACTTTAACATTTGTCCTCCATTTTGAGGGGTTGCATCTTGACCAATACGTCTTATATTGTATTGTCGTGCTTTCTCAGACCAGTTGACCTGGCCTTCCCATTCTTTTGCATCTTCCAAAAGTTGGTCCAACTCCCCAGTAATGTTTTCTAGAGCAGCAGAATGGGTTCTTTGTTGTATTTTGGGGGGAGTTGTTCTTGCTCTTTCTGTAGCTTCAGCCACTGTCTCAAAGCAGTTGTCAAGACGCTTGGTTTCTCTAGAGCTATAGCTTTCTCTGGTGCTTAAAAATGTATCTGTGTCATTCATCTGTAATTTCTTTTCAGTAGACGTTTTTAGTTCTCTCTATTGAGCTCTTTTTAATTTTCTCTTTTCAACAGGGGAAAGTTTTTTCTGCAGGCCAGCTTCAGGGACAAGAACAAGTATGTCGCTGAATGTGTGCCCAAAGTTCTCCTTACATTTTTCATTGTAAGTTGTAAAAATGTCTTTTCCTACTTCTTTTAACTGTTTTTTTGTAACCTTGGAGCTGTTAGTTTCAAGTGGTTAACATTACTAGTTATATCACTGAGTGGACCTTTTCTTGAAGTCAAGCAGCTTTAACTTAATGGAAAAGTGGCCTGATATTTTGAATTAAATTTGGAGCACACCTTACAGTCTGATAATGAGTGACCTTTTTTCCCTTCTTTTGTAATAATCTTTTCTGCTTGCCAGTTTTCAATGGAAAATCTTGATAAGTAGGCTTCTTTGTCTCCTTTGCTTCTCCAGTTGGATATTTTCTGATCAATTACTTTGCAGACACGATTGAATTGGTATTGATCAATGTTAAAAAGTGCATAACCTTCAAAACATTCGCAGTAGATTCTGTATCTCTCCTGCAAACATCGAGCATTAAACTTTGCTTTCCCTTCACCATCAGCCATCTTGATGGATGAACTCAATAATGCTTTAGATTGCCGAATACAAACCCTTGCCCAAGCACATTCTGCCTTAACAGACATTATATGAACCTAAGGTACTTTGTTGTTATGTTTTAGTTTTGAAAAAAACTGTTTGAAAGTAGAATTTTGCTGTGATCACTCGTAAGATTAAGAATTCCCGCTTTTTTGTAACCGTAAGTGTTTACTGGGACCGACTAACGGGATGAATTTGGCGCCAAATCATTAGATATAACGAACTAAAACTTTCTTACAAGAAGGCTCTTTATTTTCGAAACAACAACAATTCGTACAAAGAATAAAGTTCAAAACTATGTTATAAATACACAGATTACATTAAATAGTCACTTCACCGATTTCCTTAGTCCTCGTTTGGTCGAATCAGCTATGTAAAGCATTTCTGTCTTCAAAAAATTCGCAATTTTCAACCTAAAAAAAGGCAACCACAATTTGGTGTTCTTCGTTCGCCATCTTGAAAACAGGTTAAAAAAGCCGCAAGGGGTATGAGAAGGGCATTTTCTGATGCTTTTGCGGCGTATTTTCACACTGTGGGGGGGTAGCCAGAAGGAGTTGCTTGCTAGTCCCAGGTCCTCGGCCGTTTGAATGAAGAAAGCTTCGACGATAAAAACAACGAGAGTCAGAAAATACGAAATGGGGAAGTCAAAAACATTTCAAAATGAACCCAACTTTTTTTATATTAAACACTGATTAAAATATCTACCATTTGACGTCTTTTAATGTTGACTTTCTAGTGAAACGAGCTACAATATTTGACGAGAAACTTTGTGAAATCTCCTTAAAATGCATTCGACAGAGTTCACTAAATGAAAAATATATTTTTCTCTAACTCCAGACCTCATTAAAAGGCGCAGCTAACTGTTAAATTTATCACAGAATTGATTTATATAAGTTTAAGCGGCGATCAAACACCCTTTGTGTTCCCCATTTTCGAGTTTCGCAAGGGCACTTTTTCGGAACCAAAAATATTCTTATTTCTTTATCTACAATAGGTGTAATCAGATGGACAGGACTTTTCGGTTTAGAAGGGCTGTGAAAAACATCTTACCAAGTTTTATTACAAAATATTAAAAAATAAGGCCATTAAATGAGAAAATTAAATGAAGCCTCGTTTTCATGTTCGAGTCAAGCCTTAACATGCCTGAGTGACAAGCAAGTGTAAGTTGTGCCTAGCTAAGTTAAGCAGTCCARGCTAGTCCTTTGACTTATCTTCCATGTTTTTAAGGAAGTAGCGGAGGTTCACATCCCTGAGATTGTGACATTTGAACCACAATCAATATAAAGTGTGCATTTAACAAAACTGCAAGTGGCCCACCCCCAAAGTTTTTCCCTTTATAATTTTTAACCTCCCCCCCTAGTGGGGCGGATATGTGCTGAAATTGTTCGTTTTTTGTTACAAGCACCAAACTTGGCAGATATGAAGTTTTTTATGTAATTTTTGAAATGTGATATGGGGCCAATAAAAAMATAATGATTTAAGTGGTTTTAGGAGGACTTTTTCAAAATGGCGGCCATTTTGAACCGGAAGTGGTATTTTGCCAAAGCRTGTGGCCTGAACAACAACATTTTTACCAACTCAATGCCATTTATTGACAAATATTGTATATATATAATGAAATATATCATATTTCAGATTTTTTTACTTATTGAGTTAAGGACATATGTAAATTACTTTTCAAACCGGAAGTAGATGTGTCTGCAACCGGAAGTATCATTGTTCTTTTCTATTGTGCGCTTATATCTACATATTTCAATCAATATTTTCAAAATCGACAATTTTAGTATCACGTAAAGTGCAAATGCAAGGACCAAAATGATTTCATACATGTTATGCGTTTGAGCTCGTTTCATTTGGCGGTCGCATACATCTCATCTCCTGTCGCACTCTTCTGGGCATCGGCATAATTCTGTACAACGCAGATCATTTTTTGTACAGGAACAGCGCCCCCTACATCCTTTTTGGCATCCACAGCTAATAAGCTCCTGGCATGACTTCAAAACCTCTGGTTGAGTTGTCCAGAATGGCTTCCACATCCCATCGTCAAAGTTCCATCCCCAGTCTTGAGGGCTTGGTAGTTGTGGGCTAGGAGTTAAGGTTTGGCCCCAAATATGTCCTGCTTGGTAGGCAGTGCGTTTGATATGTTCTTTCAAAGCAGATTCTGTTGGTGGAATGTTGTCAAATTGCCTGCCTTTCTGAACAAACAACTGCTTCCGTGCCTCATTGATGGTGATTTTTGTGCTTGTGCTGTCATAGAGAAGAATGACGAACCGTTGCAGTATGGCCATAATTTGTGGACTGATATCTGATGGATGAATAGTCAGGACAAGAAGGGCGTCAGTGACATCAGGGAAGTTATTCCAAGTTACCATCGCAGTCTTCTTTCCTTTGCCAAGGAAACTGGAAACAGTATCGCACCCTGTAAAAGCATGGAAGGCTGGTAGACAACGAGCACGTTGAGGACTAAGACTGCTGGTGATTATGTGCGCTGGTATATTCTTGTGGTTCCTTCCCGTGCCAAAACTAACCCAGAGCTCAAACGGTTGACACTCACGATCTTTGAGCATCTKTACAGTGAATACAGCAAGAACAACAACATCTGTGTCGACCGTACGCAGCATTACCTTCTTGTACCCACAGTCCACAGCATGAGCAGCATGTAGCAACATTCTGGTGTCAGCTTCTTCGTGCGTACAGGGAGSGATGCTTTCAAGATTGTCACATGGGAGAGTACACTTCACCTGCTGACMAAACGTGGTAATAATCTGCCTCTGGGTGTCCATCGATGATAAACTTTCAGCGAGAAATTTGAACAGTTCTTGCTTATTTACATCAACACGAAGGAACTCCTTCCAGTTTTTTGGAAGCTTGTTATCCGCTTGTACACGTTGTCGTACACCAGTACCACGCTTGCWTCTTGTTGTGGCTTTCAMACTAGTTTCTCTGTAATCGTCCCATACAAAATCTATGCGACTGACTCGAGAAAGTTGAGCTTCTACGTACGGGATGAAAGATCCAAGTGCATAATCCTTGAAAGTGCGCTGTGCTGGAGTTGGCTTGATCATGTTTACAATGGCAGCCCCATCGATGATTGCAACTTCTATGTCTGTCATTGTGCTGGTCACTGGTTCGATTAACACTTCTAGACAYTCTGTCAGCTCGGATTTCTTGCTTGGTAGACGTAGATTGCCTTGATCAGCTAAGGATGGTGGATAGCCTTGATTTTCATATTTAAAAAACTCATCTAAATCACCGTCTCTTGTTTGGCAAGCAATATATAACCTGGAAAACAGCGAACAATCCTTCTTGATGGATGACAACTTCTTCTCTGTTCTGGACATTTTCTTTTGTTTAACTGTAGAAAAGAAATCAAGCTTGTTTCTCGAGATTGGTTCATCCAGAGAWACTTTTCTTTCAACAAGACGTTCAGAGATAAATAGTTTGCACTGTTCTTTYCCAGTTGACGCGATGTTTTGCATCCTGGAAACTGAGGACTCGTCTGCAACAACTTTGGTGTCAAGTACAAAAAGATCTTGTGTTTCTTCTAAGAATGGATTGCCAAATTCCTCAATGGCCTCTTCAAGAGATTTCACGTCTTTGTAAAATGCAACCTGGTAGCTTCTTTCTGCCTCGTGATGAAGTGAACTTGTCGAGCTAGCTGAGTGAGTAGTCATGACGTTCTGGAACTCATTGACCATTCTTGCGATTTCTGGGCCAGAGAGCATCCATCTGCGTAGGGCATCCGGATYCTCTGTCAGGCCAACAGCTCCACCATCTCCCTTAACAATCGCATTGTTCTGCTCGTGTGCGTGATCTATGGCGATCGCAGAAAACTTTCGAGGTGTTTTATTTACGGTGAAGAGTCCTTCCTGGAAAGCTGCTGCAACATCAGGAGCAGTCTGCTGAAGTGAACACATATCTCGGAGATGGACTGGAAGCCAGCGAGCATAATTAGGATGGTTGGTTGCAAAAAACCATGGTAMMATCTGGTACAGCACACTGACATAAAGATTAAAGTCTGCTTGTCGAACTGACTTGACGAAAGTTAAAAGGAGAAGCTCTAGATCAAGGGCTGTGTTCCAGTACTGAAACTGTGGTACCTTTAGATGTTGCTGTCTACGCCACTGGTCAAAATCAAGTGGACGCTCTTGGTCGTTTAAACATTCTTTATACTTCACGTGGGCCTTCTGGAGCAAGCTGAATAGGCAGCTGGCTGTCACCTGGTGGGCTCGTCGAGTTCGTACTATATTGCTGGCCTTTAGAAATGACTCAGCTGTGYCKGCCTTTGCCACATTCCCTTCTGCTAGTGCAGCGGTCCAACCACTTCCATCAAGCCAATCACCCAACACTTTTAGAAATGCTTGTTCTATGTGCAAACCCCCGAACATGATGACAAAGTTATTCTCACCATGCGTTTCCGGATAGTGCCATTGTATTTCTTTTGCTAAGGCAAAAAGGGGCTGGTCAAATGCTATAACTGGAATTTGTCCAGGATTCAGGTGGTTTATTGACTGTTTCACAACGTTCATGGAGTGTTTAATCATCGCTACAGACTTTGCCTCATTTGGAAGAAGGGGAAGCAATGCTGAGATAGCCGATGGACGGGGTTGTAGATCTTCATCAGATGAGTGGTACGCGCCCCACGATATTAGATTGCTTTCTTGTAGAATTTCTTCGCTTGAATAAAGACTTGAATGCTGAAGCCATGGCTTTTCTTTGTCAAGGCAGTAAGCTGATAAACTTTCATCGGGTGTTATTGTTGCTGAAATAGCTGGAACTTTATACTCCCTAGGTAACTCTAGAACTGGAGTAACATCTGTGTATGTCGCAAGTGGCTTAACTGACTTTGAAACAGCTGCTGATGAGTTTGAAATATCAATAGTAGCTCGAGTTGTACCAGGATTTTCTGCGCTTGGATGCTGAAATAGAGAAATCCCTGTTCCATGGAAAGAGTCACGGGCTGTCGTTGAACTCGGATTGTGATCAATGTTATCAACAGCTGACGTCGTGAATAATTGGAACCGAAGGTTGAAAGGGCAAACTGCATCCTCTTCAGTGTAGCGTCGACAGACCTCATTTCCCAGATACGTAGATATCGCAAGAACTCTGTCATAAGAAATGCCTATTCCTAGATCATGTAGGATTTCTACGAGCTCCCGACTGCRAGTCTTGGCATGCACAGTCATTCCTACATATATAGGAAGTGGAGTCTCACGAGACTTGCTTCGCCGTTCCCGCTTGATGTCTCCATCTCTGCGACGAATGTAGGTATTGTATTGCAGTAGCTGTGCAATAGTTAGGGCGGATTGACCTTTTGCTTGGCTGCGAGCTTGCGYTTYAATATTTGGTCCATTGAGTATCATGTTAACCAGTGATAATAAAGATGCTGGCACAGAACTTTCTTGGCAATTTGACTCAAAGGATCCTGTAAATGTATATTTACTAGCGATCATATCTTTGCGAATGATAGATGCAGTCTTTGCAAGATGTATAGCTTCGTCGTCACAGTCTTCTTTATTTGCTCTTTGAAGCACAGTCCCAACATCATGTGAATAGGCTAAATAAACGTCACGACCTCTATTATAACAATGCAGTTCTGGAACATGGAGAAGAATGCGCTCCTTTAGACGAGTTGTGTTAACTCTAGCCGGTGTCTCTTTGCCAAGCTGCTGTAAGCAGTTTTTATACATTCGTGCTAGGTCTGCTAATTTAAATGATAGTAGTTCTGCGTTAGCAGATCGAGACTCTTCCATATAACTTATAAGCTCTGCTAAAGCAATTCCCTCTAAACGATGGGGCATCTCGTCATCATCTCTTCCTTCACGTTGCACATAGGCAGCATTTCTGTACAACATCGACAGGCATTGGCTATGATAAACAGCTTCTTGGGCAATCAAGTCACCACTACTCAACTTGGCCAATAGTTTTTCATCATTCAATACAGCTGCACACTGACGCACTCTAGTATCTAACGGTAAGGTAGAGACATTACGAAGAGGTCGATTATCAATTTTGTCACATAAAAAACATGCACAACGACTGTTCCGTTGAGTTGGTGTACTTGCAGTTGATCGAGTGAACTTCCCGCCAGATCCTTCAGTCGGTTGTTGCTTCTCCTGACGCTTTTCAGCTCTTTTTAACTTGGTAGTGTTAAATAAGATATAGCAACTTTTATGCCAACGTGCTTCACGTGTCATGAATGTTTCCTTCATCCCACAGCCTTCRTCTAGCCTTGATATATCTATCTCTTTCGGCAAACATTTCATGGTGGCGAATTTTTCTATGTTCACTGCTAATGTTGCGTATCCCGTGCCTATGTCTAAGCGCTTTGAGTCGGCAGRACATCGTAATGGTTCATCTGTATGTTCTTGACAAATGGCGCAAAGCTGCCAATCAGTATTGTGTTCTTGTTGTTGCTCAGCCATTTCCTGAAATGAATGAATCGTTGTATTTAAGCAGTTCATTTTAATTCATAGCATAAATAAACATAAATGGTGTATACAACTTCAAATGCTTCATACCTAYAGCTGGCAATATATTTTATGCTGTTTCTCAGTATACTTTATATAGTGCATATAGCGCAAGTCTTTCTTATCACATCTAAAAGGGAGTSCAAAGAACACTGAGTACTACTATAGCAGATTAAAAAATATCTTAAAAAATACACAAACAAATTACTGTCAATGGATGTATACTTACAGTAGATAAAGTTGTTTGTACTATATCATCGTTTGTATTTTGATCTAGCTCTTCCATCTTAATAGGAATGCATAGTTTTCTTGATAAAAAAGTACTGAAAAGTTGATGTAGCAAAATTCACGATTGGTCAAACAAGCAAGCACAATTTAGTCGTATATTTGCCTCTAACCTACAAAGAATTGAACAAAGTTTGCCATTTACTGAAAAATCCCATTCAAATGAGACTTTAAAACAAATAAATGCTGACATTTTTAATACTTACAGCTCAAGTAGCGTAGTTCCTCCARGATGGCGGCTTTTAATTATGCACAAAGCATTCTGGGCTTTCCAGTTCCAAAGGGATTTTGGGAAAAAATGAAATGACTTCCGTTTTTTTGTAAAAAAAGCTATATATTTCAAAATAAATAAATAAATAAATAAATAAATAGACATTAATATTTCAATTTTCTTAAACAATCATTGTTTTTAATTTTACGCTAATAATATAGCACTATTTTCAACAAAAAAGATTGACTTCCGGTTATGAGAGTTTTACTTCCGGTCAAGATGGCGGCCATTCATAAAAAAACGTCAGAAAATTCCCCTAAATGAGAAAAAAATCATTGGCCCCATATCACATTTTAATRATTGCATAAAAATAGATTATTCCTGAAAGTTTGGCGCTTGTAACAAAAAACGAACAATTCAGGTTAAAATCTGCACATATCCGCCCCACTAGTAATTAATTATCGTTATTCATTATGAAGACCTTGTATTATCGGAAGGACCATAAGATTTCGAACCATATAATTGTTGGTGACAACTCTGTAATTCTGATAATTGGTCACGATGACAATAAAGTGTTTGGAACTGTGGTCGTGTTTCAACATAACAATTTACACCTAAAAACTACGTACAGCTAAAGTGTACGAAAGCCATGTGACAGTGGACGATGTGAGTCCGCGATAAAAGCGGTATATTCCATAAAAAATGGCAAAAACATTGCCAACTTCGATAATTTGGCAAAAAAAATTGCCAACTTCGCTAATTTGGCAAAAAAAATTGCCAACTTCGCTAATTTGGCAAAAACATTTGCCAACTTCGCTAATTTGGCAAAAACATTTTGCCAACTTCCATAATTTGGCAAAAACATTTAACATTTAAACAAAGGTGTTTAAGATAGCATGGCACGAGATAGGATAATCATCGAGTTAGAGGTTGAGTTGAGTTTGAGTTAACATTGAAAATCAAAATAATTTTAATACATGCAATAAAACTGTATAGAAAGACCTATAGACGTAATTCAAAAACGATTCTAAAATATTTAGGATACTACGCGCGCTGTGATTGGTCGAAAACCATGTTTGATTACAGTATCAAAACACGCTCGCGCGCGTCAAAAATTTCTTTTTTCCCGCCGTTTGCATTTGTTGTTGTTATCATTCATTTTCAAGAACAATGAACGAA